TGAACAATACGTTACATTTCCAGAAACTTCAAATTCTAGCCTATCACGGTTTTTTGATGGATGCTTTCTTCAGAGAAAATGAAAAAACGGTCTGATCAACTACCAGGTGGTGGGCAATATGTTTGTCATCTACAAGTGATGAGGTTCCACGATTGTTGGCAAGTTAGATCAACAGATTATTGCTGATGTGATACGACGCCACTGGGCCGAAGTAGATGTCAAATGCTTTTCCTTACATATTCCGTTCACTTTTAGAAATTATCCAGATAATCATATTATAGCCTCCACAAATGCAACACATGCAAGTTGTTGTACTCTTCTCCGAAACTCGACACATGTGTATTCTGTATGGTAAGTGAATCAATACTTTCAATCAATGACCTTGTCGACCCAAGCTGTGAGCAGTAAAGGGATTACTTAAACTTACGGCGGTATTCGTCAACACTGATGCATCCACACTCCACCGTGTGATTGCAGTTTGAGAGTAAGCAGATCGACGGTAATTAGGATTAGCCACAGCAAATGAAACTGAAAAAGGTTGCCTGCATGAGAAACACATGTAGCGCCATCGGTTTTAGAGCAGAAACAAATGTTCGGTTGTACACTTGTAGTATAGGTGTGCATGTGTGTATGATCAAATCAAAATTTACAGTCGAATAGCCAGTTTACAATATTTGTTTTCAACATGAAATGCTTCTAGGCTTGCCGGACTGAAACAAACTGAATATAAATGACTTTCAAGTTACGTTCAAATGCGATGGAAATGTTCGTGATAACCAACAAAGAGTACTAGACAGCTGTTTCGTTCTGTTTGAGACTGATACTCTAAATAGACTGGCAGTTATATTTCTTACCTCACGCGGAACAATAATACCCTGGTAGGTAAGAAAGCTTCGGCCGAAATGGGAATAAAACTCTCCCGAGATTTGAATAGTTTTGACCTGCTGCGATCGCTTTATTGGACCAATGTGGACAACAGTGGCAAACACTTTTTTCATCTGTACGCCCTAAAGTTCCACGAGAGCAGTGAAAAAGCATTTCGTACCCCCGATGAAACAAACTGTTCACAAAATGTGTGCCGGAGACTATAACATATCGAAAACGATGCCCCTAGAGCTCTCTACCATGAAATTTATCCTGATTTTTAAATTCCTACAAGATCACAATCCCGTCATCGGGAATAAACATTAAGTCCAATCTCACCTGAATTTCAGAAAACCTGGTACCCGTAAGTTCTAATTATTCACTGGAATAGTAATGGTATTGATTGAAATTGCATCACTATCTTCCCGGGGTTCCCGTTCCGTGTGCTGAAAGGCAATGATAAAAGTAACTCTTAGAGACTGGATTTCGTTCAATGCTTGTTCAGACCAGAACCAGACCTTAAAGAGAGCAAAAAGCACACCGTAAGGTGAAGAATTAACATTGTAATCAGCGGTAAATTACAAGGGACAACGACGGTACTGCATAGAATAAAACAAACGAAGGTTCGTAATGGTAGACATCGTCGTCCCACCGACTCTGAGCTTAGGGGAGTTCCAAACACTCCACCGTCGCGTGACTTGTCTCTGACGACGCCTGGACGACTGCAATCTATCTCTATCCCGAGAGTTGTCGGTAAAACACTGTCATCAAAATTGAAGTAAACCTTACCGTTATTATTATTTGCTGATCCGCAGCAGGTTGCGTGATGTATGGTCTTATTGTAATCAAGAGGGTTGTTGTTCCGCAATAGGTTCACATTTTCTTGGTTATTTACTGATCCGTTTGTTACTTGTACTGAAGTCTGGCTTAGCTAGAATAGACTGAGAAAGAACAGGATTGGCACATTCGGAACTCGTGTCGATGCTGATGTTATCATTATTATACCGTTGCACAATTATTCCACATGATATCCACCTTGGAATGTTATATCCGGATTGTTTTACAGACCCCAAACACCGTATATATTGTAAACGAGATTAGAGAGAATCGATGATATCTTAGACTATCATCTCAGGTAGCACAACGCAGCGCATCGATCGGCTACAAGGAGCTATTTATGAACTTCATTTATTAATAAACAGTAATTTATCATTAAAACGCATTCATCACATTTGTTTTTGGTTTGAAGACTCATTTTCATTCTTAAATCAAAATGCCTGTGTTTTGGGAGTCAAACCTCCCTGAATTTTGTTTTATTTGACCGCAGGAAATGACAGTTTGAGTGATTCTAATCTTGTGTTAGGTTGCCATTAGTTGATACTGTGCAGCTCTTAGTTCTTTATGTCCATCGAAAACGAATTGTGTGATACATTTATTTCATTGTTATTCCTTTGGTACCATTATCAAATATTTTCAAAGAATTATTTCAACAATCATACGAAAAAACGAAATTTTATTCAGCACTTGAAGATTTGGAGCTTCTTAAAATGTCATCCATATCTCGCTGGACATTATATCACAACAAGGGAAGCAACAAGTAGAGTCCCATGTTTGTGACTAGGCAAGACTTTATGAACACAGAAGATGTCTAAGATCATTAGGTAAATTATTGTAAAATATGTATTTCATTAGTAATACGTTTCATTTTATAAGTGCAGCCCAATTCCTTCAATGTGAATTCAACATTGTGAATAAATTCAAGTATCCATGAGACGCCCCAATTTCA